GGCGAGTTCTTTCAATACGTGGTAGCGTGTGATTGTATGAGTTAGTTCCGAGTGTTCAGATGGATACTCTGCATAACACACATAGTCAAAAGTTATTACTACATGGTCACTGAGACCTAATGGACTATCCATCAATAACTTGTCAACCATGAGCTCTTCATTCGTGAGCACAAGGTCCAGTATGGACGGTTTGTTTGCTGTCCTGAATCTAGTGGGTGTGGTGACATGATTGTACAAAGGAATATTAGCGATCAGTTCATGCAAGTCTGCTTTGAACTGCTCACTGGGCGATGCCGAAGCCTCCAGATTGTGTAGATTGAAGTCCCCGGAGATGAGAATGTGGCTGTACCTAGTGCGTGTTACTCTGTTTAGGCCATGGATCAAGCAAGAATCCATTTCCGAAGTGGACGTTGGGGGGCGGTAAACGACAGCTACTAAACACGTGTCGTTGTGTCTCAATCGGAGACGGCACCAGAGTGAGTCAGTAACGTGTGTTTCCAGATCATCAACGGTTGTACATTGTAGATCGCTGCGGTAGTAGAGTAGGACCCCACCTCCTCTGCTGGGGCGGTCGTTCCGGATGAGTGACATTCCGGCTATCTCAACCTCAGCATCAGTCACCTCTTGGTGTAACCAAGTTTCGGTAATAGAAATTAGGTCCCAAGCATTCGCAACCTGACGTAGTCGAAGTTCGTTAATTTTACTGAGGAGCCCTTGGGCGTTAGTGTACATACATGAAAGTTTCTCAGATTTAAGCAATGTTTCGGAGGTTCTGCAACTCATATGTGAAGTTTCGCCGACCAGTGAGTGGCCGGCGACTAATCGTTTTTTCGATGTGTGCTTGGTGAAGGGTTTAACATTTTATTCATCGTCCGTATAGTTAGTCCCGTATCTGATCTGCGACGTACAGTGTAATGTGTCTGATCAATGTCATCTTCTACAGGTTGTATGGGCTCATTCGGCACACTACTGGTGCGTTGTTCTCTCATAGATCCCATCGCGTTTGGTTCTTTGAGTGACATATCTTCTCTAGGAGGCATATCGCTGATTGTCTTCAGCCGAACCTCAGATGGTAGCTTGCAACGGAACATGTACCAGCTTTGTAACATCCGTGCTACCATATGTTTTGACTGAAGGACCACCTTCAACACTCTCGGGCCAATTCCTTTGTAGTTCGGTGAGGTACGCAGTCGTGACACGGATTTCGCTATCACATCATCCAAGCGGAGTGTTTCACGAATATAACACCACTGTTCTTTATCATGGGTTGTTATTTCATGCTGATCACATGCTTCGGTTTCAGGAACCCCGTGAAGAAGTATGGTTCTGGATGAAGTTTCCTTCCGGTAGTCCTCTAAGGTGCGGTTAACTCGATGACGCTCGCCCCATGGGTTGTCTGGAAAGATACGCATGGAGCAGTGTTCATTTCTGAGACTACCTGCCGACAGTAGTACTGATTCTACTTCAGTGATGGAGTTCAGCACAACACGCAGAAGTCTCGGCTCTCCGAAATGTTTGGAGTTGAGGTGTCGTGTAATACGCATTACGTGTACAGGTTTAAGTTCGACACCGATTAGGTTGCTAATAGTATCCCATTGGTTGAGGTCATCCAATTGCCTGCCTCTTATCGATGTCGAATTTGATTCTGGGATATTGGAGCACAGTACGCTCAGTACAGGTAGTTGTTTCTTTACGTCTTTCGACATGTCGCGTTTAGTGATTGAAGTAATCGGAGATTTACCGCAGGAAACCGGTGGTGCTTGCATTAGGAAAACTCCGCTACGCTCCTCAGTTTCCGATCCAGTTGAGGGTGATGTTACTTTTATATGACGGCTCTTCTTGGAGGCAACCGTAACCCAACTTTCGCTCGTAACGGCTTGCTCTTTTGCTACGCACTCAATCGGGAGTTTGGAAGTAGCCTTACGTGTAGTTACTCCCATCGAACTGGGAACCGCTTTAGTCAAACGTGAGCTACATGTGGTATTGGGACAGCTGTTGATGTTCTGGACTCTAGGTGTCGTGTTGCTTACGGTGTTATTAACAACTCTTCGCGGGTTAGGAGAAGCACTTACGGGAGAGGATTGGGTTGCACAGTCTGCTATGCTTACTCCAACCCCAGTGATTTTGGTGGTCACCATTTCCTCAAACTTCGCTAGTAGCTGGTCATACTTCTGAGATAATAGGAGCACGCTTTTTATCAGTGGGATTGATGTGCATTCCACACAGAACCATAGCGAGTCTGGTTTGTTTAATAACTTGGCCTGGCTAGGTTGAACTCTGAGGCATCTCGCATGGAAGAACTTGCAACAGTTACGGCACAAAATGCCCCCCTTAACAAGTTTGGTACATGATCCACATAGGTCTTTAGTCCGTGGCACGCCAGGCATCACGCTTGTTGAGCAAATGTTACGAACCATTTGATTGACTCACCTTCTATGATAAAAGGTCGTTCTGTTATTGACGTTGTCGGTAAGGTCACAGTGGTCACGTTGCAGTTGTGTACTTTTATACTGTCCTCTCTGGCGTGCCAGTTGAATGTGACAGCTTGAACGTGGGGCAGAATACACGAAGGTGTGATTGAGAATTTCCGTGGTTTAGCCTATCGCGCCGGGTGAATTTGCTTTTGGACCTGTAGCTGCACTGAGCAGTGTTGGATTTGAACGAGTGACAGTTCGTTCGAAAGCCGTTGAAATGATCTATCGAGTGAGACCAAACAATGTCTCGGATGATTGGAGTAAGACAACTTTTGCCGCTTGGATATCGAGGAAACACCGCCCGGAAGTTAGAAATAAGGGTAAATGTAGGATGCACTGGGGTATACTCGGGAAACTGGTATCACAAAGTAGAGCTTGTAAAAGCACGACGAATGAGTATTGATCCAAAGGTGTGCGACAAAATGTCGCTGAACCACAGTTAAAAAACCACGAGTGCACAAGTGAGCGATTAGCACGCAACTTCTCTCAAATTTCCCTCGAATTTCGGAAAGTTGGGCCAGTCAAACCACATTGGTTTGACAAAGAGTACAACAAAATGGCCCGACGGCGACGTAGACTATGGAACAAATTCGTGTTATCTGGCTCTGATGAGGACTACAATGCGTACAAGGTACAACGAAATCGCTGCAACAACGCAAAAATAAGCAAACGCAGAAGCTTCGAAGAGGAGCTCGCGACTGCCGCAAAAACTGCTCCCAAGAGGATCTTCGCATATATGAAGCGGCGCCTAAGGCCTATAGCCAATATCCCAGTGTTAGAAGGCTCAGAAAGACAGCCTCTAACCTCGAGTACACGTCGTGCGTCAGCATTGGCAACGCACTTCGCCTCCGTATTCGCAAATGACCAGGTGTCTGTAATAAGCTCGACGAGCACTGCTCCAACCGAACTTAACAGCCTGGACTGCAATATTGAGGATGTACGCAATGTTCTAGCAAATCTTGACGGGAAGAAACCTGCTGGGCCAGACGGTATACACCCACTAATCCTCAAGTCATTATCGACCATAATTGCACCTTCTGTAACTGAACTGTTTAACAGGTCACTATCCACTGGTCTACTACCGGACGACTGGAAATGCTCAGTCGTAAAGCCTATCCCGAAAAGTGGTAATCCAAGCAAAGTGGATAACTACCGGCCGATCTTCCTGACGGCAGTTTTGGCAAAAACGCTCGAGAAGGTCGTGAAGAAGAGCCTTCTGCAACTTCTCGAGTCGAAAAACCTGTTAATCTCCGCACAGCATGGTTTCCTGAAAGGTCGTTCGTGCATCACCAACCTACTGTTGACGAGGCACGAATGGTTACAAGCGCTGAACAAAGGCCAATCGGTTGACGTCATTTACATTGACTTCAGTAAGACTTTTGACAAGGTTAACCATGCAGTGCTCCTTGACAGACTGAGGATGTGCGGTGTTGGTGGTTCGCTGCACAAATGGATCAGAAATTTCCTTATTGATCGGAAGTGGAGAGTCCAGGTGGACAGCCATCTAACCGACTGGTATCCATCGAGCAGCGGCGTGCCCCAAGGCACTGTACTGGGCCCGATATTGTTTCTAATCCATATAAACGATGTGCCTCAGCTACTACAATCAGCTTGTGCTTTGTTCGCAGATGACTTGAAAGTGTGGAGAGTAATCCGCACACTCAATGATTGCGATTTACTTCAGCAGGATCTCGACCGCCTCTCGACGTGGTCTGCAGAGGTTAACCTTCCGATCAACCCTGCCAAGTCGCAATTCATGAGGTTGGGTAAGTATGATCACGGCCGAACGTACACAGTGGCTGGTCAACCGTTGCATCCCGCTCCTTTCGTGCGCGACCTCGGTGTACTCTCACGCTGCGACCTAAAGTCCATTGACAACACAAATAGGCTGTACCAAAGCAGCCTTGGTATGCTTTGGGCTCTCAGGCGCAGCTTTAGCACTTGGTCCGAAGAGATTGCTTCTCGCCTCTTCGTCTCGATAATACGACCAATGCTGGAGTACGGCACTCTCGCATACTGTCCCATCACCCGGGGTGAAGTAGAAAAGCTTGAGCGGGTGCAGCATGTAGCCACCAGGCTGATTCCCAACTTACGAGGTATGTCATACGAAGACCGATGTAAGAAACTAGGGCTGTACACACTATCTTATCGTCGGCTGAGAGTTGACCTCATCATGACGCACCGGATACTACATCTGGGTGATTACCCCATGTTGAGACAACTACTTCATCTGCGCACAACAAGCTGCACGCGAGGACACCGGTATAAACTTATCGTCCCGGATTTGAAGCGGGTCGCCCATCAACTCTGTTTCGAACGCAGAGTAGTGAATGTCTGGAACGACCTGCCTCAGCATATAGTAGAAGCGGACAGCGTGTCTAAATTCAAGATGCTACTAGACCAACAATTTGCAGAGACAAAGTACAAAGAGCGAAACGATGAATAAAGAGTTCATGTCCGAAAACGATGAACGATGCAGCTACACAGAGCAACCTCTACTCGCTGCTTCGCACCAGTTCTCAGTTCTCAGTTCTCATCATCATCATCATCATCCTCATCATCATCATCATCATCATCATCATCATCATCATCATCATCATCATCATCATCATCATCATCATCATCATCATCATCATCATCATCATCATCATCATCATCATCATCATCATCATCATCATCATCATCATCATCATCATCATCATCATCATCATCATCATCATCATCATCATCATCATCATCATCATCATCATCATCATCATCATCATCATCATCATCATCATCATCATCATCATCATCATCATCATCATCATCATCATCATCATCATCATCATCATCATCATCATCATCATCATCATCATCATCATCATCATCATCATCATCATCATCATCATCATCACCATCATCATCATCATCATCATCATCATCATCATCATCATCATCATCATCATCATCATCATCATCATCATCATCATCATCATCATCATCATCATCATCATCATCATCATCATCATCATCATCATCATCATCATCATCATCATCATCATCATCATCATCATCATCCTCATCATCATCATCATCATCATCATCATCATCATCGTCATCATCATCATCATCATCATCATCATCACCACCACCACCACCACCATCATCATCATCATCATCATCATCATCATCATCATCATCATCATCATCGTCATCATTCTCATCATGATACACGGTATCTGGATGTGGAAACACTTCAGCTTCCTTGTCGTTTTTCATATATATTGTGTCGTTCTCCTTCATTCTTTTCTGCTCATCTTTCTCCGCTAGAGCGCGCCACTTCTCTGATTTTGTTTGTCGACCTCCATTGTTTTTTCCTATCATACCCCGCAGGCACCACCGCCCCCGATATTTTCCGTAACCATTCAAGTGGGAACGCCCGTAAACTGGCGGAACATGACAAGAAAAGCCCCGAAGGAATCTTTTCACCATAATAGCCCTATTTCGTACCTGCGTAAACCTTCATCATTTACAGCTATGCACACGTGAACACGTTTCGCAAGCAAGCACCATCCGTCTCCTTGTGGGCACGATTGCTGAATAACATGAAAGATATCCATTTTCAGTTTTCACGTACAAATTAAGATGCTTACGTCGCATATGCATGGAAGGAGGGCAGTAGGGGATAGAAACTGAAAGCGAAATCACTCTTTTATTCCAATCGATAAAATCTTATTCGAACCTTCAGTGAATTTATCAGTGCTTACGCCGCATGATCAGGCCTTTAACATTTAACAATCACTGGACCCTTTTGCAACATCCACCTGGTTTACTGGAGCAGACCAGCGTGTGCTGCGACCTAAGCATGAATTTTGTCGCGCGATAAAAACGCTTTTGGTCTCACTCCTTCACAATCAATGCATGTACATGGCAACCGGGCGAACAGGGCAACTGTTAACAAGGTTTCTTTGTTTATCGCTGTGTGATTTGCATGCGTCTAAAACTAACACTCGAGCCCTTCGAGCAGTGCAGATCTTTCGCGTGGATCGATACGTCGCTCGTTTGGTGCGCATTAGTAATTCTGCGAACTTTCACGGTCTTCTGCACACGTAGAACCCGGCAACCAACCAAAACGGGGGAAAAAATCGGTGCGCGTGAAGTAACAATACGGCGCGACCACCCATCTCCACATCCGACTTCATAGGCCCAGGCCACTTTGCACTTGCCACATGAAAACCCAGGTTGGAAAACCAGACAATGGTGTCCAACTTGTGACCTTCAAATCGACCTTCATTTGGAGGGGTGCGCGAGTGTCCTCACACGAGTGCGTTTATCTGTGGCTGAGTCATTCCTACAGACGGCCGCGACAAAGCGAAGAGCCCGCAAGAGGTCGTGACGACATACTCCTAGTTGGAGCACGTGGGACGCTGCTGTCCTCAAGCAACACCTGAATGAGGCGCGAACGTATCTTAGGTGACATCAACTCTGCCGTCGTTAATTATTGAAAGTTGCCAAAACGTTTGCCTTAATGGTTCCAAACGCCTAAGTAACCACTGGAAGTTCCGGTTTCCCACCGAATTCGTGCATTTTTACTTTACTACGTGTGAATTGACGAAGTTGCTTATCAACAACAGGACATTTAGTCCCGAGTGCCGCGAGTGTTGAATGCACCATTTCTTGTCGTTGCCTATACTGGTTCGACAACCACCAGTGAGCGATAGCCTGCTTTTTACCAGTTCAGTGAAGTTTTATAATACGTTATTTGTTGATTCTATGGAATCATTTCTGAGTTAAGCGCGAATAACCTGTTATCAACGCCGGAAAATGGACTACGCATACCAAGGCTCAAACGCATTTTTCTGTTTAACTAGCAGTTATGCTGTTTGGGATAGTTAGATTACGGTATGTATTCGATACAAAACGCGATCGTTTGTCGCGGCACCACGATAACCGTTAGGAGACTATCGATGGTAGTCCAGTTTAACCTTTCGAATGTCCACCATTAGCCACGTCAAGTTTTCACGAGGTAGACCGCTGTTCGCTTGCGGCAAACGTAGGGTGTTGGTAGTAAACCTATTCACGGCATCGGTCCCCCTTTAAGGATCCGGTACACTAAATTGTCTAAATGCCACCTGCTATCTGCCTAAGGAACACAAAGTGCCAATGAATATTCACCTTGTATCAGACGTGCGTTAAAATACACTATTTCCTATCAAAACAGGTGTGAACGCGTAAAATAAAGGAATTATTGTGAAAGACGCAGCACTTAACGAGCCAAATGTCAGCACAAGCAGGGTCGCCGCTACTTCGCATGGCGACTGCCTACAGTATATGTTTGATAAATTAGAGCACCAGGCGAATGTTTATTCGTAAAATAACAGCAGGGAAAACTGTATTTACGTACAGTCAGTGACACGCAAGCATGTGCTGCAGCCAGAGAGAGGTCTCGCTATTTTCAGCACAACGAAGTAAAAAGACGCGCATTTTAACATATCGAGGGATATGCTGCATATTTCATCCTTTTACTATATGGCCAGCGAAATCTGGTTTCGGCTTTGCCTGTCACTGTGGCCAGCCACAGGACGCCTGCACTTAAAGAGGGACCATGGGTGGCTTACGCTGCACCACCAACTGCTCCAATCACGCACCTCGTATCCAGTGTAAACCCGAAAGAATAAGATCGGGAGGCATGTGGATGGGAGCCATGTTTCATCAACGAAGCCGGCCCACACTCCTTCACAGACAGACACTAGTACGCTATAATTGGGGAATCAAGTGCACACAAGGCGGTGGCTGGACCGTAGTTCGCTCCACACTGAGTGCATGGAGCCGCTGTTCGAGCCTAGCACGACCACAAGGACCGTGCACCCCGTCCCCTCCAGCAACGACCAACTGTCTCCTAGAGCCAGTATGGACGAGGTAGTGGGTACTAGACAGATAGGCAACTTGTCAACATGCACATCAAGCGCAGCCACACCGGGGATATCAAGCAGCAGCCAATCACTTGAGACGACGAGGTCAAATAACATAAATCGGATAATGCATACAGATATCGTGACATAACTCTTCACTAAATGGGCATATGAAAAAATTGGTTGCCAAGTTACCTGCTATGCTTTCAAGACGTCAGAAAATACATTTTAAAAAATGTCACCACCGCGAAAATGTTATCAAAGTTAAGTAAAATTAACTTGATCGACGTGTGAAAGTTAATAGAAGATGGTTCACGAAAACAATAATGAGACAATATAGCAAACCCACCACCTGAAATAAAGAGACCCAACATGCAAGCAAGCGGTTAGTAAATCGAATGCAACGGACTTATCAACGCTGCGACGGTTCTGCCTACGTTCTCTGAAGGATCCGTCGTCGTTTCGGTGGTGGCCTCGAGTGGCCTCGCTCATGGCTCACTAGGAATGCCTGACTTAGGCACTCGCGACCGCATGTGCTACAGCACCATCCGCTCGATGTCGATGGAGTACAACCCATCGGCTCCTGCCGCTTCCGCACTTGCCACTTCTTCTCTGCATGCAATAGGACTGTCTCTTGCACCTCGGCACTGGCCTTCGTGAGCAAATTACGCCATGCACGCCGATCAACCACCTTCGATTCCCATGACCTGCAAACAAGAGTAGAACGTGAGAGGATCACTTTGATCATGTCCCGGTAAGGTAACTTCGGTTTTCCCACATGCCGCTTCCCCAAACTCAGGTGACCATAGCTTTTTCGGTATCCGCGTCGAATCCGTACGCCACACGTGACCGATCCACCTCAAGTGTCTTAGCAAAAGTATGCAGTCCACTGCATACATTCCACTTCGGCTCAACACCTCTGTGTCCGCAACTCTGTCGCACCAACAGATGCGCAGAATCCGTCGCAAACATTATTAATGCAACCACTCGAGATATCGCACATCCCGCCGGTACATCGTCCATGTTTCACTGCCGTATAGAAGAACGGACAGCACCATGGACTTGTACACCATCAGCTTCGTGCCAACGGTAAGCTGATGGTTGTTCCACACTCGGTACTCTAGCTTCCCGAATGCCGCCGCTGCATTCGAGACGCGGATACGCAGCGCACTGTGTATCCGCTGATCAGTCGAGATCACACTCCCAAGGTAGCAGAAGCGGGAGGTGGTTGCAAACAAGTCATCACCAATGCTGATTCGCGGCAATATTGTAGACTGCACCTCCGGCGAAGGTTGAAAGAGACAGACAGTTTTGACTGTGTTCGTGGTGAGCCCCGAATTTGGCCGCTGTCGAAGCCAGAGCACTAATCCTGTGCTGTAACTTATCCTCGCTAGGTGCAAGCAACTCACAGTCGTCAGCGAACAGCAACCTACGGATAGTTGTCTCACAGACAAGGGTTCTCGCACTGAAACGACGGATGTTCAGCAAACCAACAATAATACGGTGCTCCGCACGAACACCGTAAGCACAAGTCGCCTCAAAAGCACAAGTCATCATTGCATAAAGATAACTATTAAACTGGGCAGGAGCTAAGACACAGCCTTGCTTCACACCAGTGACAACTGGAAAGTCATCCGAGGTCTATCCACTCAGATGCACCCTCACGCACATACCACTGTGCAGACATTCCATTACACTGTTGGTCATGTCTGGGCTGATCTCTTGTGGTGACGGATCACAGCTTACAAAATCCTATGTATACGCATGTAAATCATATTACTACTGTCTCGCTGGCTTAAAACCAAAAAATGCCATACCTGATTGATCCGCATGACAGAACGGGCTGAGACTTCATCGCCTCTACTGTATGCATGAAACAGCCGTAAAAAAAGGAAATTTGATACCCGGTTCTGATGACCTATTTACTATTTTGCCACACCGGAACAGAGCCGATTGGAGCTTGGAATTGCGGGTGAAACCCATCGTGGGAATACCCTGAATTGAAGCAAGTCCCCTGGGGACAGTTCCATGGATGACCCTATTACTTTACTTGAACTTTCCGTGAAATCTACAATTATTATTGTTCCCAGTTTCTTTATCGCTCTACTATTTCCAAACTGTTAATCACTTCAAAACCCATATGGGAACCATTGAACAAAAGACGTAAAATTAACTATATTATGCGATCACGTTGTGCATGTCGATAAGACAACCCAATTGGTCTGTGCCTCGCAATGCTGAAGAATATAACGTTTATTTATTTATTTATTTATTTATTTACAAACTTATTCGCATAACAAAACGTACCCAACACCAGCCACAACGCCTCGCGGTTCACCGTAGCAAATGCCTTGGTGAAATTAACCA